ATATATATATATATATATATATATATCTACATATATTCATACATATTCGTACATCCAGCACAGTAATTACCTATGTACTGACATAAATATGTGTATTTATTTCTTTTGCAGACACAAGGTCTTTTTCACAAACTCATCCTCCAGTCAGGTACCGCCTTAAATCCATTATTTTTGGAACAAGATGCACTCTCCACAGTGCGCAGCTTTGCACGATTAGCTCGCTGCCCTCGCGTCAGTGCGCCAGAAGTTCAAAATCTTCATATCTGCTTTGAAAGACTAAGTACTACGGAAATCTTGGAAACTATGAGACGACATTATGTATGTATTTTTACTCAGGCTGGGTGCGAGTCATCTCATTTATATTTTAATGTCCAAATTGAAACTCTACTCGATTTTCAGAGACTGATATTTCGCTAACTGGACCTCTGAATTAAGATTCTTAACTTTTTTGAGTATGCAATTTTAAATCCCATTAAATTATAGTATAATAAAGTGCAAGGTTGAAGTTGCTAATGACCAAGTTAAATAAAAGGTTGTAAAAATCGCGTTGATTTTTGTGGGAATTTTTTCAGCACACATATTTTCTTCCATTCAAAGTACAAAAATTTTTTTTTAATCGAATATATCGGAATGCAGTCATCAACGCGATTTTTTGGGAACTTTATACTTGCACTTTATTATACATACAAGAATTTAATAAGCCATAAAACTGCATAACTACTCAAAAATTTCTGAAAAATTTGATTAAATGGTTGAAAAATTAGATGCAACTTTGGATGATTTTTGATAATATTTGCACAAAGTTTGAAATGTGAATTTATATGGTGTTTGTTGTATAATGAGCTAAACTTTTATGAACAAATAATAAACATTAAATGAACTAAAGCAAAATAGCCAAAAGTGATCAAAAGGTTACTGGCTTAATGTACATATGTACATATCGTCGTTTAAAGTACAAAACCGCTTATCAACAAAATGCAAAACCGCGTATCAAGACAATGTAAAACCGCGTATGTGAGATTATATAAATCATTTTCTAGAGAGTAAAAATACTCATATTTCAAAATGGTTATCTTTTTTGTTAAGCAATCGCATTTCTGGCTAGTATATTTCAGGATGAATGAATAAGACTGAGTCAAGAGCTTGTGTGAGCAAACCTAATTTTTGGCAGCAAATGTCAGTTACGAGGTTTTGCAAAATGATGATACGCGGTTTTGTACTTTAAATGACGATATGTATTTCCTCAATTAAGGCTATAACTGAATCGCACTCGCACACAATCTTAACTATATGTACATATATAAATTATAAATTTAAAATTAATATTTTTTTTATGAAAGGAGGAGAATGAGAATCGTGGGTTACATTTTATGGGAGGTTTCAAACTAACAGTTGGAGACAGTCTTGGATATCTTCCCGTTCATCCCGCCGCATTAGTATCCAATCGCACAGTTCCAATGATAATTGGAGTTGCTAAAGATGCTGGATCTTTCATTTTGACCAGTAATCAAACGCTACACAAACCTTAAATTACACCAACATCATGACTTCTTCCTTTCGTTTCTTTTTAGGTTTCTATTCTGAATTAGCACGTATACGTTCGAATAACATATCCGACTATATAAATGTTGTGTTGCGGCATACTGCGCAGCCTCTACATTACTTAACCTGGAAGAATTTAGCGCTTCGGGAAATTTTCAATGAAGAAGACATACGTAGTCCCAGTATACCTGTTTTGATCCAAGGACTATTAGAGGTAAAAATAAATTAAATATGTGGTGCTCACAGAGTTCGCTAAGTGTTTGGTTGAGCTTCTCCTCCAATTTGTGATGTGCGCACGGTTGCCAAACGTCTCGTTTTCGACGGGACTGCCCCGGATTTAAGAGCTATGCCCCGTTCCCGGTACAATACCTGCCGGGACGCAAAATGTCCCGGTTTTCGGCAAGAAATAAACTTAGACATCTGGTTGTTAAAAATTTAGAGCTCTTTAAATACACTGCGTATAGTGTCGATTCGTAAATAGAATATGTAAAATGTAAATATTTAATTATAATAATAATAAATTGGCGCTTACACATATGTAAGTGCTTGGCTGAGCTTCTCCTCCAATTTGTGGCGTGCGCCTTGATGTTGTCACACAAAGGGGAGGGACCTACAGTTTTACGCCGAATCCGAACGGCGATTGTATTTTTATGAGAAGCTGTCTTTCATGGCAGAAATACACTCGGAGGTTGGGCGTTGCCTGCCGAGGGGCGACCGCTGTTATGAAAAAACCTTTTTTCTATATTTTTGCGATGTTGATTGAACCCAGGCCCTGCGGAGTGTAAGCGCGCCCTGATTACCACTAAACCACAGCGGCTGCCATCTATCTATACTAGTACTCATATAGAATACTCTAAAAGGTATCGATGCCAGTACTCATATTTGCAAAAAAGTATCCATAATACTCGTACTTCCAAGTATTCTCAAAGAGAACGCAAAAAGTAAACAAAAATCAGATTGCTGTGCTTTTTTCACCTCTTCTATTTGTAAATTGAATAGTTACTGCTCTTAATAGGTTTATTTTGATCTAAAGGAGTTTTTGGAATAAACTTCCGATAAATTAGTTTTACATGTGTAAGTTAAATGTTTATAGCAAAAAGCTTACTTCCAAGTTTTTAAAAGCAAATATTTTATAATTGTTTGACGCGTACATGTATTTATAAATAACTTTACTATGAAAATGAAATGCAAATGTAGAAGACGAGAAGCAAATGTGGTGAAGCCCATTCATATTGGAAAGAGTGGGCTGGATTTCACAACGAAGGTAGAATCCATGGGTTAACGACGGATGCCTTATGTTGGAGAGAGGCCCAGTTGTCGAGTCGGAAGACCATCCTCTTCCTCCATTCATTATCAAAGGGGAGGCAAGATATTCGATTTTCAATTATTTAAAAATTTTCACCCGACGCCAATTTTGAAATGACCGATACATTTTCTTCTAGGTTGTGTAAAAATTTAATAACTGTGTCAATTACCAGTAGCTCACTAGAACGAAATATGTATTAATTATTAGTATGGGAGTATACATATCGTCGTCCGTATGCTATAAACATGAATGTGTAAAAATGAAAATTTGGGAAATCAAATTTGAAAGTTTTTTTTGCAAGACTTAGCTCTACAATTATGCAATTGAAATTGTAAAATATTTACTTTCCGTGTACGCAAGGTATTCTGGGTTTTGGTATAACATAGAAAATCCAAAGATTAACCAAGTCAACCCAGTAACTCAAAACTGATAAATTTGCACATTCATGCTTCTAGCATGAGGGTGACTATATGTGAATTAAAAACTTTAAAGGCATGTTTCTCGGGTTTTCGGTTTTTTGAGTTATGACAGTATTGAAGTAAATGAGCTTTATGTTCATAGTCTCGAGTTCTCATGAAAAGTATCGATATTCGATACTCGGTACTCGTATCGTTCTATCACTATTTCCAACGAGTTTAACGTGGAATGTAGCGCATAATTTGATAATCAACGTAAATGATCAACAGCTAATAGTTTCAAGTATGTACATAGTATATTTGAATTCAAGTTTCTATAAAATCTATACATAATGAGGCGTATTCTTGTTTTCGTACGAATCGAAAATTTGAAATTTTTGTATGAACAATGATAGAAAAATTTCGTGATTTTCGATTCGTATGAAAACAAGAATATGCCGCAATATTTTTGTTTGTCTCTATACAAGATTAAAAACAATAATCTCTNGAACGAAATATGTATTAATTATTAGTATGGGAGTATACATATCGTCGTCCGTATGCTATAAACATGAATGTGTAAAAATGAAAATTTGGGAAATCAAATTTGAAAGTTTTTTTTGCAAGACTTAGCTCTACAATTATGCAATTGAAATTGTAAAATATTTACTTTCCGTGTACGCAAGGTATTCTGGGTTTTGGTATAACATAGAAAATCCAAAGATTAACCAAGTCAACCCAGTAACTCAAAACTGATAAATTTGCACATTCATGCTTCTAGCATGAGGGTGACTATATGTGAATTAAAAACTTTAAAGGCATGTTTCTCGGGTTTTCGGTTTTTTGAGTTATGACAGTATTGAAGTAAATGAGCTTTATGTTCATAGTCTCGAGTTCTCATGAAAAGTATCGATATTCGATACTCGGTACTCGTATCGTTCTATCACTATTTCCAACGAGTTTAACGTGGAATGTAGCGCATAATTTGATAATCAACGTAAATGATCAACAGCTAATAGTTTCAAGTATGTACATAGTATATTTGAATTCAAGTTTCTATAAAATCTATACATAATGAGGCGTATTCTTGTTTTCGTACGAATCGAAAATTTGAAATTTTTGTATGAACAATGATAGAAAAATTTCGTGATTTTCGATTCGTATGAAAACAAGAATATGCCGCAATATTTTTGTTTGTCTCTATACAAGATTAAAAACAATAATCTCTTTTTCGATAGATTGTCACAATATGTACAACTAGTGAACCTGCATGGTATTATTATTGGTATTCCAAAACTTAGTCAGAGTTACAAGAGATCCGAATGCCAATGAAGAGCAGTCTGGCATAGTGCATGTTTTTAATTTCATCAAATTTCAAATCACCCTATACCGATGAAAAAAGTTCTTAATTAAAAAAAAAATAAAAANCAACGAAGGTAGAATCCATGGGTTAACGACGGATGCCTTATGTTGGAGAGAGGCCCAGTTGTCGAGTCGGAAGACCATCCTCTTCCTCCATTCATTATCAAAGGGGAGGCAAGATATTCGATTTTCAATTATTTAAAAATTTTCACCCGACGCCAATTTTGAAATGACCGATACATTTTCTTCTAGGTTGTGTAAAAATTTAATAACTGTGTCAATTACCAGTAGCTCACTAAAACGAAATATGTATTAATTATTAGTATGGGAGTATACATATCGTCGTCCGTATGCTATAAACATGAATGTGTAAAAATTAAAATTTGGGAAATCAAATTTGAAAGTTTTTTTTGCAAGACTTAGCTCTACAATTATGCAATTGAAATTGTAAAATATTTACTTTCCGTGTACGCAAGGTATTCTGGGCTTTGGTATAACATAGAAAATCCAAAGATTAACCAAGTCAACCCAGTAACTCAAAACTGATAAATTTGCACATTCATGCTTCTAGCATGAGGGTGACTATATGTGAATTAAAAACTTTAAAGGCATGTTTCTCGGGTTTTCGGTTTTTTGAGTTATGACAGTATTGAAGTAAATGAGCTTTATGTTCATAGTCTCGAGTTCTCATGAAAAGTATCGATATTCGATACTCGGTACTCGTATCGTTCTATCACTATTTCCAACGAGTTTAACGTGGAATGTAGCGCATAATTTGATAATCAACGTAAATGATCAACAGCTAATAGTTTCAAGTATGTACATAGTATATTTGAATTCAAGTTTCTATAAAATCTATACATAATGAGGCGTATTCTTGTTTTCGTACGAATCGAAAATTTGAAATTTTTGTATGAACAATGATAGAAAAATTTCGTGATTTTCGATTCGTATGAAAACAAGAATATGCCGCAATATTTTTGTTTGTCTCTATACAAGATTAAAAACAATAATCTCTTTTTCGATAGATTGTCACAATATGTACAACTAGTGAACCTGCATGGTATTATTATTGGTATTCCAAAACTTAGTCAGAGTTACAAGAGATCCGAATGCCAATGAAGAGCAGTCTGGCATAGTGCATGTTTTTAATTTCATCAAATTTCAAATCACCCTATACCGATGAAAAAAGTTCTTAATTAAAAAAAAAATAAAAAAATAGAAATTGTCGGAGTGCCGAATACCAGTAAAGAGAATGCGAAAGAATATGTAAACAAAATATTCAGTGATGCATTAGATGTGGTGGTTCCTGAAGAAGAAATTGAGGAATTTAGCATCAAACGTATAAGCGTGAGGGGAACTTCGGATAGTAGTTTTAGGCACAATATTTGGGTAAAATTCAAGTCTACGTATATCAAAAAGAAAATTATGATGGCCAAAAGAACTGCTAAGAAGAAACTTAAAACCCCTTTGTTCTCAGCTACTGGCAATAATATTAGCAATATTTTCATTAACAACTGTTTTACCAGCTACAACCGAGCATTATTTTTAGCTGCTAGCAAGGTTAAAAAAGAAAAAAATTTTTAATATTTGTGGATGAGTAACTCCAAATTACTCTTAAGAAAATCAGAAAATGATAGACCTGTCGTTATTAATACTTTCGAAGATCTAGATGATCTTTCTCTTTAGTTTTTATACCTTTATTGTTTAATTTATAAATGAATAATATATCTTATTTTATAGACGACAGGCCTGTCATAAACGTTATAAATTATTTAAACCTTTTAGCAGTGGGAAAAAGCACTTTAACTATTGTACATCAAAATATAAGAAGTCTGCGACAGAATTTTGATTCATTATGTCTGAACCTTGAAGCCTTTCAGTATTTTCCAGATATTGTGTTTGTATCAGAAATTTGGATCTTCTCCTATGAGGTTAACGATTACCATATTCCTGGCTATAATTTTTTCGCGAACCCTAATGACTCGTACTCAGCTGGTGGTGTAGGAGTTTTTATAAAAAATATGTACGAATGCGATATAGCACGTTTCTGCCTATCAAGCGCGGATATTTTGAAAATAGATGTCTACATAAAAAAAGAGCTAGTTAGTTTCGTTTGTTTCTACAGATTTCACTCGGTACCTATGCAGG